AAAAAAATATATGTGATGTTTTCATTGAAATGCATGAGCAGTGGACAAAAAATGATACGGGAATCATTGTACCGTTCAATTTTGTACCGTTCAATTTTGTTTTGAAATCAAGCATGTCATGGCATTGTTTTGAAAGCAAGCGAACAAATATGCATGTCTCGGAATTTCTGAATGCAAAATGTTTGGTTGAAGTCACGCACCCGTGACGTTTGTGGACGTTTTGTGGTCGCTGTTTCATTTGCTGAAGGGAATGTCTGTGCGAATGGAGCATGCGACCGCGTCATCCGCGTCGTCCGATGCCGTGGAACTTCGGTTGCAGGAGCTGCGTAGCAGTGCTGTGACCAGGGGTCGTGAATGGCTCCAGGATGCCCTGGCAAAAATTTCTGTAATGGAGCTTCGCAAAATGGCACATGCTCGGAATGTTGGCCGTGGACCGGACAACAAGTGGCTTGCGGTTGGAGAGCTGCGCGCTCGATTGCTGGATGTCTTGGCACCTCCAACGCAGGTCCGGTGGGGCAGAATAGGATTGTGACGAAAGTTGCATGTTTGTCACATGGTGCAATGTTGTAGGATGATTGTTGTTTTGTGGTGGCAGTGTGTTGGATGCTGTAGGTGGACGAGGCATCGGCTGCCAAATTGGAAGAACTTCGCCTTGGAGCTGTTTCACAGGGCAAGGAGTGGCTCAGTCGTGCTTTGTACGAAATGCGAAAAGAGGAGCTTCGAGCCCTGGCTACTGCGGGTGGTGTGCAGACACATTCCAACCGGAATTGGCTGCCTGTAGCAGAGCTGCGCAGCTCGTTGATGAAAGTCTTGGAACCCTCCACGGAGGTTGGGTGCAAGAAAAAACGGCATCATGGTACCGATGTTTTGTGGACTGTTTATGTGGGATTATCCATACAAAAATGAAATAACACGTGTCATTCATTGAATGTTTGTCACATGGTGCGATGTTGTAGGATGATGGTGGTTTTGTGGTGGCAGTGTGTTGGATGCTGTAGGTGGACGAGGCATCGGCTGCCAAATTGGAAGAACTTCGCCTTGGAGCTGTTTCACAGGGCAAGGAGTGGCTCAGTCGTGCTTTGTACGAAATGCGAAAAGAGGAGCTTCGAGCCCTGGCTACTGCGGGTGGTGTGCATCATGGTACCGAGCTTATTTGGTATGTCAAACTCAGGAGTCGTTTTTTCAGTTTCGAACTGAAAGAGCAGATGCTTCGCATTGGATTGTGCGTTACATTCCTTGGCTCAGATGTGAACGAATGGACAAGATGCGTTTCGCTCAAGAGATGTGACGTTTGTAGGTGAAGCTGTAGTGGAAATATCGAAACCTGACGCCTTCTGTTTTCAAATGAAGAAGCAAGAGATGATGCCAACCGATTATGGGTCTTGGTGTTGAAAGATACTCGGCGGCAGCGCCCACATCGTTGGACATGACGGCAGTTAACAACAAACAAAGTTTTAGTGCACAAACATGTCGCATAAAGTATTTGGGGATTTAAGTGTGTTCTGCCATGGCAACGAATGTCTTTGATGACCAAATTCTACGACACATTCTTTCATTTGTGCCTGGGAGCTCTGAATTGGCTCCAAAATATTCTGTGCAACCAGAAACCGGACACTATCTGGTAAAAGCTGGTTGGCCGGTTGTTTTGAAGAAAATGTGTCATTGGAAGGAGGCAGACACCACCATCTGTATTTGCTGTGGTGCCAACCAAGAACCCGGCGATCCAAACGAGTCAGACGATAGCTGGACATCTCAGCAAGTCTCTGCTGGCTGGGCAAAGGTCATGACCGTGACAATACCACACTTTCGTCATCATCATATGAAATATATCAAAAAAACAGTCAGAAGCATAGAATATGTTTGGAGGACAATGGCAGCCGAGAGATGTTACATCTGCGGGCACTGCAACGACTGCGTTGTGAATCTCGAGTATGAGCATCCTGCTGACTGGCTGGAAGATCTTTCTGTGTTCACAGAGATGCTGGAACTTAGGTCGTGTCCGTGGAGGTGCCCAGATAAAGATCGACCGCAGTACCCGGATTGCTGCAGTAGTAAAAGCGGCAAACATGCCACATCTGCAGCATCATGGTACCGACCTTTGCTTGGAAGCAGCTTGTGGGAGCTGGAAGGCTTGCGTACCGAGTGGCACATGGAACTGAGTGCAACTGGCGCAAATTAATCTGTAGCAGTGTTCGTCTGGAGAGACTGTTCGTGACGAACATGCAAAACCAGTAGCCAACTGTTGTTTGTCTGTAAAGATTTTTTTTCCATCCTGTAGGGACATCGGAGAAATGCAGTGAAACAGGTGTCATCCTTGCCATCATGATATCGAACTTGCTATTGTGGAATCATTCACAGCATTCTTGCACGGACTTCTAGATTCTCTTGGATGCCATGGTACGGAGCCTTTGTTTGCCCACCTGTGTTTGCAACTGAGGTCATCCACGGCATCATGGTGCCGAGCTTATTTTGTATCTCAAAGAGCGGATGCCTTGCATTGGATTGTGCGTTGATCATGGTACTGAGCCTGGTCTTGTGCACTTTTGCGATTTTTTGGCATTTCCATTGCAACTATGTTTGCGCACCTTTGTTTGCAACTGAGGTCACCCAGTGGTGCCGCGCTTTGTGAGCGTCTCTGTGTAAAAGTCTCTGTGGGAAAGCGTCTGTGTGTAAAAGTTTCTGAGTGTAAAAGCGTCTGTGTGTAAAAGCGCCTGTATGTAAAAGTGTTTGCGTGTAAAAGCGTCCGTGTGTAAAAGCGTATGTGTGTAAAAGTGTTTGTGTGTAAAGGCGTCTGTGTGTAAAAGGGTCTGTGTGGAAAAGCGTCTGTGTCTGTGTGCAAAAGCGTCTGTGTGTAAAAGCGTTTGTGTGTGAAAGTGTGTGTGCGTCTGTAAAAAGGCATCTGCATGTAAAAGTGTATGTGTGTAAAAGAGTCTGTGTATAAAAGCGTCTGTGTGTTAAAGTGTTTTCGTGTAAAAGCGTCCGTGTGTAAAAGCGTATGTGTGTAAAAGTGTTTGTGTGTAAAAGCGTCTGTGTGTAAAAGGGTCTGTGTGGAAAAGCGTCTGTGTCTGTGTGCAAAAGCGTCTGTGTGTAAAAGCGTTTGTGTGTGAAAGTGTGTGTGCGTCTGTAAAACGGCATCTGCATGTAAAAGCGTATGTGTGTAAAAGAGTCTGTGTATAAAAGCGTCTGTGTGTTAAAGTGTTTTCGTGTAAAAGTCTCTGTGTGGAAATGCGTCTGTGTGTGTGTGCATGAAAAACGTCTCTGTGTGAAAGCGTCTGTGTGTAAAAGTGTTTATGTGTAAAAGATTATGTGTGTAAAAGCGTCTCTGTATAAAAGCGTCGCGTTTCTTCGCGTTCACGGAATGATGGTGCTGCGCCTTTTTCCGCAATGTGTGTGGGAATTACCATAATAAAATGAGATAGCACATGTCATTCGCAGACTCATGGCACTGAGCCTCCTGTGCACTTTTGTTGCTCACATTACATTTCTCCATGTTTTCTTTCTACCCCCCCCCTTTCATTCTCTCTCTCTCTCTTGCTTTCTCTTTCTCTCTCTCTCTCTCTTTCTCTCTCTCTCTCTCTCTTTATCTCTGCCCCCTCTTTCTCTCTGTGGTTGCAAGACACATGTCATCTGATGCCCTTTACCAAATATTCTCTTCTTGATCAATCTTACTTTTTCACACCATATCTTTCCATAGCTCATAGAAAAATTCACCAACTATTCACCGACTATCTTTTACGACTACCATCCTCAGAGCTGCTTGAAAAACATCTTTTTCGCTCTCGGGCCAACCGTCGTCTAGTTATTTTATTTGCTTTTTTGGCCACAAACATGAAAATTTATTCTAAATGTTAATTTCCTAACTTAGCTAACCACTTAGCTAAATACTTAGCTAACTATGCTAACTTTGAGGCTAAGTATTTAACTTCCCTTAACATAATTAGCATGTCTGATGGCTAACCACTTAACATAATTATGTTGTTTAGAAACTGTAGCTATTTTTTAGCTAGACACTTGTTAACTTCCTGACACAAGTAGAAGCCTTACAAGTGGTTAGCATATGCTTAGGATGTTCTTAAAAGGTATTTAGGTAGCTACTAGAAGGCAATTCCTAAAAACTTTAAGTCACTAGCAAACCCCAGATCATCCAAGTAGTCAACATCAACTTTCAAAAATTGAGGGAAGTCTCGCACAAAAGCGTAGTTTTCAGATCTTCAACGTTTAGAATTTAGAATTCGAGGGCGAAGCTTTCGCATCTTCCACTTTCAGATTTTGAGGGAATTCGTTTCCACACCTTACACTTTCAGATTTTGAAGGAAGTCTCGCACGAAAGCCTCGCTTCCACATCTTCAGCTTTCACACTTTTTGAGGGAAGTCTCGCACGAAAGCGTCGTTTTCAGTTCAACGTTTAGGTTTAGATTTTGAGGGAACCCAATAGATCAGGTTAGGCAATTTCCTGCCGAAAAGGTAATTCCTTATCTTGGACCAAAAAAATACCTATTAGTTTGTTTTCCCTTAGCTAAATTAGATTTTTTCTTGCCTTAACTTTTTTTTACCTAACTTTCAACGAAAGTTTGCACGCAAACTTTCAACCCCGCCTCGCAAGTTTGCATGCAAACTTTCAACCTCCCCTCGCAAGTTTGCAGGCAAACTTTCAACCCCGCCTCGCAAGTTTGCATGCAAACTTTCAACCTCCCCTCGCAAGTTTGCAGGCAAACTTTCAACCCCCCTCGCAAGTTTGAGTGTAAACTTGCACCACCATTTGCCTGCAAATGCTTGCGTGCGTGTCCAAGGGCGCAAATTTTCTTGCAAACTCTCAACCCCGCCTCGCAAGTTTGCGCGCAAACTTTGAACTTCCCCTCGCAAGTTTGCATCCAAACTTTCAACCTTGTCTCGCAAGTTTGCATGCAAACTTTCCGCCCCGCCTCGCAAGCTTGCACGCAAACTTTCAACCCCACGTGCCGAATTGCCTTAAAGTTAGGTTACATTTCCGGTTTGCGCAGTCAGGTTTGCAGGTACTCCTTGTCCAGCATGTCCTTGAGGGACTCCATATCCAGCATGTCCAGCTGGAGCAGGTACTCCATGCCATGGAGCCTCCAACTGCATTGCTTTAAAAAAAGCCTCTATCCCCACAGACTAGTCAAAGTTGAAGTAAAAAGCCAAGAAGCTGGTGCATGTGCAGGTCCAACATCTGCAGGAGCTGGTGCAGCACTGGCAGCCACTGCAGCAGCCAGAGAACCACCATGTTTAGGATGCCCATCTCCACCCTTCTGATGCTCAGCCTCAGAAAGTCCAAGGGAACACATGATTCAAGTTTCCTTGTTGTATCAACACCCCCCCCCCAAAAAAAAAGCACAGCCAAGGAACAAGAGCAGCAAGGATTCTGTTGGCAATCTGGTCACTGCTCAGTGGCACATCCTCTTCCTCCTCCTCCACCTTGGGCTTCACCGCTCCATGCCTCAAGAAGAGCTGCTTCGTGTCAATCTCCACCTTCTGCCTCTTGGAGGGAGGATTTTTAGGCTCAGGAGGCCTCATAGCACCCTTAAGTCCAGCAGATGGTTGTGGTAGTTTGGCTTTAGGCTTGGACTCTAGCACCTTAAAGTCAGCCTTCTCCAAGTGCACCTCCTCATACTGCTGTCCACCCACAGTCGTCACAGGCCCAGTGGGCACACCTTCAACCACAGGTACCACTGGAGCAGCCAAAGTTGGCACATCATCTGGTGCTTCCTAAGGATGGCTCACCATGGAAGAATGTATATTAAAAACAAATCCCACATATTTTTAGGGTCAGTTAAAAAAATGATGATGTGGAGGCGCGATGCAGTCGCAGCACTCTCATGGGTCAGTTAAAAAAAATGATGAAGTGGAGGCGCGATGCAGTCGCAGCACTCTCATCCTGCCACAGGGTAGTGATCAACCCCATCTCTCTCATGGTTTTAAAACACTTTGGCCAAAATGGGTCCTCCAGCTTCTTCTGGTACCACTCATTCTCAGCCTCTTGAGCCTCATGAGCTTCTGTCAACTCATTGGCGCAAGAGGCATAGTCAAACTCATCCTCTGTGGTGCCCATTGTCACACCAGTAGTGCCTTTACTCAGCACTTTGAGCTTGAACCAAACACAGCCATGGGCCCATATGAATGAGCTGATCCCCTGGAGGGCAAGTAAAAAAAAACTGGAATTCTTTAAAAGACTGAGCCTGCTATGGGCTAATCAATACAATTGAGCTTTCAAACAGCTATTATTTAAGAGTGAGCCTGCCAAGGGCTAGTACATGCAATGAGCCTGATCAAAGCTAATTGGTCCATGAGCCTTGCAAGGGCAAATCCAAGAGCCTGCTAAGGGCTAAGTATTATATGAGCCTTCCAAGGGCTAGCCATGCAATGAGCTTACTCAGGGCTACTTATTTTGAGCCTCTAAATGGCTAATTGGAATGAGCCTGCAACAGGGCTAGAGCAACTAAGCTTTCAGAGGGCTAGTAAATTTCAGCCTATTAAGGCTTCTGAAGCTCAAGCATTGAGCAAAGAGCGGCAAGATACGTTTTTCCTCTCTGCATCAGGGCAAGGAAGTGCTTACTTGTTGTGAAGTTCATCTTCATCTTTCTTGCCACCTTTCTTTCTGTAACTTCTCTTGTTGCCATCTTTGAAGCAGGTGTCCACATCTGTGGACAAGAAATCAAAAGTGACAGCCAGCATGCTGGAGTCCAGCAGAACAGAAACATCTTTGTCCTTCCAAGTGCTGGGCTTGAGGACCTCAATGTCATTGCCATCTAAGTTCAAGGTCAAAAAGTCAGGGCCACTGGAAAGCTTGAGCTTCTTTTTGGGATGCTTCTCAACCTTGAACAAGTCCTTCTCCTTCTCTTCCTCCTCCTTTGCCTCAGACAAGGCTTTGTGCAAAGCCTCTTCTTGCTTCTTCCTCAAAGAATCAAACGCATCTCCCTGGCAAAGGCTAGGGTTCTTGCAGGTCTTCAAAGCTTCCAGGTTGTCTGCTGCCACCAATCTGCACACCAGGGGGTGGCTGCCCTGTATCTTCAGAAACTTCCTTCCATCAGGACCAACAGACACCAGGTTGTCTGGCACCACAGCCTTATTAACACCTTTGTAGGAGAGGACCACTTTGGTGTCCACTACTTCCCAGCTCTTTGCCAACTCCAAGTTCAACAAAAACGATTTGGTGTTGCTTCCACTTGGCCAGGTGGTTTTACAGAAAAAGGAAAAGATCAACAAAAGTTCTGTTGTGCTTCAGATGGCTGGCTGGAAATTTGAAGAAGTTTTGGTGGTGACACATACCAAGTGCAACTTTGAGAAGAAGAGTGGCCACTGGTGTCCATTCTATTGGTGCAAAGAGGCCAAAGATGACAAGGACAAAGATGATGCTACCTGTGAGAAAGCCACCTTGACCAGAGCGACTGTGAAGCACCATGAGCTGACCATTCCTTGCCTGAAGAACAAGGTGGCCCTGCAGATTGGATCCCCATTGCTGGTTGAGGTTCAAGAGGAAAGCAAGAAGAAGAAGAAATCCAGAGACTGAGGCATTGAAAGCTGTCTTCCCAAGAAAGTGTTTGCTGCCTAAAACAAGCTGTAGGAAGCTTCAGCACCTAAGACTTTACAGAAAGCTCTTGCATTGTTAGCCATCAAAGGCTTTTTTTAATCGCAAGCTATAGAAAGCTTTTATGTGAAAAGCTTCTGCCTTCAAAGCTATACAAAGCTCAAGCCAAAGGTGTTGTCAAAGGAAATGCTTCAGAGGTTTCATGCCTCTTGTTTGGCAGGCATTATTCCTCAAGTGTAGCAGGGTGCTAGCTTAGCCAGCCATGGTGGACATCTCAGAGAATCCATGGAGCCATGTGCCTTCATGTTCATCAGCTCTTGAGTGAAGAGATCTGTGATGTCTTCAAACTGCTTGTAATTCTTTCCTTCAGGGCCTTTAGAACCTTTGCCAACCAGGAACAAAGCCAACCTGGTCAAGTATCCGCCCATGGGCTGAGCTTGCTGGTCCAAGGTAAGTGAACTTTGACCACACAAAGCCCAAGCTTCATTCAGAAGCTTCTCAGCAGCTGCCAATTGCACAGCCATTCCTTTCTGCTTCAGCTTGGAAAAATCTGCAGAGGTCAGCAGCCTGGAGATGCCATCTCTAATGTATTGCTTGGGAGCACACATGTGGCAGGCTGCCATTGCCAACCGAATCCAAGGGTAGGTGGTAGTTGGGCACTTGAAGTCAGTGTAGGCCAGCAATTCAGTAAATTCCTGGCCCCAAACTGTAGAACCACCATATTGTTTGCCTCAGTATGGGCAAATGGCTTTGGTAAAGCAACAAGTTCAAGGAACACCAACTAATTGGGTAAGGAGCCTCTGATGGCTGCTTTGGAGGAGCTTGCTATGGCTGGCTAACAGTCTAGCTGCAGCTGAGAGACCAATGGACTGGAGTAACTCCAGCAAAAGGAAACGCATCACCACCAGTGAACTGCTTCACAAAGGCAGTGATGGCAGCAATGTAATTGGCACAGGCTGGTCTAGAAGCCATAGCTGCTTCCTGGGCCTTCTTGAGGTGGTCCTTGGAGGTGGTGGCCTGCTACTCATAGATGCTTGCAATGTTGCAAGCAGTTTCCAACTCATTGGCTGTTGTTTTAACAGCATGGTCAGAGTTCAGTGCTTGGGCCAGGAATTGTGGAAGTTCAGGGCAAGCAGACTCAACCTGGCTGTCAATCACCTGCCATTCCCATCCAGTAATGACCATCTCCTTCAAGTCATCCTTCTTCTGGCACATTGAGTCCAGTGACAGGTAGCCACCAGTGCTGATCTCAGGCTCTGTAGTCTTGCAGCCAGCCTGCACTGCCCTCAGGAAAGTCACCAAGTGGCTGCTGGACACTGAGGCAAACCTTTCACAACCAAGTGGCTCACACAGCTGGTTCTGGGACAGCTGGGCCAAAGACCTGTTGGTCTCTATCACTTGGTCTTTGTTTGCCATAGCAGATGGCAATTCAAAACAAATTGATTCTCCAATTTTGGCCATGGAGAAACCAATCTGAGCCATCACAGCACCTTTGCTGTGCACATCAGACACAGACACTAGTTGCCCACCTCTGTTCTTCACATGCACCAGAATCATCTTTGGCTCAATGCATTGTCTGTAGCATAGGCCATTCTGCTTCAGGATCTCCAGAATGCGGTTGCATCTGCTGGCAATGGGTAGACTGCTGTCTTGCTGAGCCCTTACCACTTCACCCTTCCATGTAGCACCAGCCATGGCTTTCGAGCCAGTGTCACAGAAAGTCACTGTCTGTTTTCTTGTGTTGGCATGAGGTGCTTCTTTGCTTATTGTGCTGTCTTGTGTATTTCTGTTGTCTTGTCTACATCTTTTCCTGTTTACTTGTGTCCATGTTACTTCTTTATTTGTGTCCTTGTGCCCTTTGAGGGCAGGAGCTAAGTCTTTGAGGTTATTTCATGTAATTTAACCAAATGTTACACCCATGTGCAGCAGTTCCTTGGGAACACATTTTCTTGAGAGAAGCAGCAGCAAGTTTTCCTGCCTTGGTTCCCTTGAAAACCAAGAGCGGCACAATGTCCACAGAAAAAGAGCTTAACAACAGCTGAAACTTTAGGAGAGCCTGCTTGGGCTAAAGATTCTGAGCTTGTATAGAGCTTTGTTTGGGTCATTGAGCTTATATATGGCTGACAGGTTTTCCATGTTTTTTTCCCCTGCTTTCTCTTGTGTTCTCACGAGGTTCACTGAAAGAATGTGAATCTTCTGGCTTTCTTCAAGACTTTGTGCATTTTTTATGGAAATGTTTTTTTTATTTTATTTGCTTTTTTGGCCACAAACATGAAAATTTATTCTAAATGTTAATTTCCTAACTTAGCTAACCACTTAGCTAAATACTTAGCTAACTATGCTAACTTTGAGGCTAAGTATTTAACTTCCCTTAACATAATTAGCATGTCTGATGGCTAACCACTTAACATAATTATGTTGTTTAGAAACTGTAGCTATTTTTTAGCTAGACACTTGTTAACTTCCTGACACAAGTAGAAGCCTTACAAGTGGTTAGCATATGCTTAGGATGTTCTTAAAAGGTATTTAGGTAGCTACTAGAAGGCAATTCCTAAAAACTTTAAGTCACTAGCAAACCCCAGATCATCCAAGTAGTCAACATCAACTTTCAAAAATTGAGGGAAGTCTCGCACAAAAGCGTAGTTTTCAGATCTTCAACGTTTAGAATTCGAGGGCGAAGCTTTCGCATCTTCCACTTTCAGATTTTGAGGGAATTCGTTTCCACACCTTACACTTTCAGATTTTGAAGGAAGTCTCGCACGAAAGCCTCGCTTCCACATCTTCAGCTTTCACACTTTTTGAGGGAAGTCTCGCACGAAAGCGTCGTTTTCAGTTCAACGTTTAGATTTTGAGGGAACCCAATAGATCAGGTTAGGCAATTTCCTGCCGAAAAGGTAATTCCTTATCTTGGACCAAAAAAATACCTATTAGTTTGTTTTCCCTTAGCTAAATTAGATTTTTTTCTTGCCTTAACTTTTTTTTTACCTAACTTTCAACGAAAGTTTGCACGCAAACTTTCAACCCCGCCTCGCAAGTTTGCATGCAAACTTTCAACCTCCCCTCGCAAGTTTGCAGGCAAACTTTCAACCCCGCCTCGCAAGTTTGCATGCAAACTTTCAACCTCCCCTCGCAAGTTTGCAGGCAAACTTTCAACAACCCCCTCGCAAGTTTGAGTGTAAACTTGCACCACCATTTGCATGCAAATGCTTGCGTGTGTGTCAAAGGGCGCAAATTTGCTTGCAAACTTTCAACCCCGCCTCGCAAGTTTTCGCGCAAATTTTCAACCCCGCCTTGCAAGTTTGCGCGCAAACTTTGAACTTCCCCTCGCAAGTTTGCATCCAAACTTTCAACCTTGTCTCGCAAGTTTGCATGCAAACTTTCCGCCCCGCCTCGCAAGCTTGCACGCAAACTTGCAACCCCACGTGCCGAATTGCCTTAAAGTTAGGTTACATTTTTACGTCAAAAATTACCTAATTAGGTAGGAAATCAGGAATTAACTAATTATTAGGCAGGAAATTGCCTAACCTGATCTTTTGGGAATAGTCTCGCACGAAAGCTTCGTTTTCGCATCTTCCACTTTCACTGTTTGAAAGCAAACTCGCACGAAAGCTTCGTTTTCGCATCTTCAGCTTTCACTTTTTGAGGGAAGTCTCCCCCGAAAGTGTCGTTTTCAGTTCAACGTTTAGATTTTGATGGAATAGTCTCGCACGAAAGCTTCGTTTTCGCATCTTCCACTTTCAGATTTTGAGGGAAGTCTCGCACGAAAGCGTCGTTCTCACATCTTCAACAATTTTGAGGGAAGTCACGCACGAAAAAGCTTCGTTTTCGCATCTTCCACTTTCAGATTTTGAGGGAAGTCTCACACATTCTCACACGAAAGCTTCGTTTCCACATCTTCCACTTTCAGATTTTGAAGGAAGTCTCACACATTCTTACACGAAAGCTTCGTTTCCACATCTTCCACTTTCAGATATTGCCGGAAGTCTCGCACGAAAGCTTCGTTTCCACATCTTCCACTTTCAGATTTTGAAGGAAGTCTCACACATTCTCACACGAAAGCTTCGTTTCCACATCTTCCACTTTCAGATTTTGAAGGAAGTCTCACACATTCTCACACGAAAGCTTCGTTTCCACATCTTCCACTTTCAGATTTTGAAGGAAGTCTCACACATTCTCACACGAAAGCTTCGTTTCCACATCTTCCACTTTCAGATTTTGAAGGAAGTCTCGCACGAAAGCTTCGTTTCCACATCTTCGATCAACTTTCACTTTCTGAGGGATCGAAGTCTCGCACGAAAGCTTCGTTTTCGCATCTTCCACTTTCAGACTTTGAGGGAAGTCTCACACGAAAGCTTCGTTTTTGCATCTTTCACATTCAGATTCCCAATAGATCAGGTTAGGCAATTTCCTGCCGAAAAGGTAATTCCTTATCTTAGACAAAAAATATTAAAAAACAATTGTATTAGTTTATTTTTTCCTTACCTAAATTATCTATTAGATTTTTTCCTTACCTAAATTAATTATTTTTTCTTGTTTTAACTAATCTTTACCTAACTTTCAACGAAAGTTTGCACGCAAACTTTCAACCCCGCCTCGCAAGTTTGCATGCAAACTTTCAACCTCCCCTCGCAAGTTTGCAGGCAAACTTTCAACAACCCCCTCGCAAGTTTGAGTGTAAACTTGCACCACCATTTGCATGCAAATGCTTGCGTGTGTGTCAAAGGGCGCAAATTTGCTTGCAAACTTTCAACCCCGCCTCGCAAGTTTTCGCGCAAACTTTCAACCCCGCCTTCCAAGTTTGCGCGCAAACATTCAACCTCCCCTCGCAAGTTTGCATGCAAACTTTCAACCTCGTCTCGCAAGTTTGCACGCAAACTTTCAACCCCACGTGCCGAATTGCCGTAAATTTATAGGTTACATTTTTACTATTTACCTTAAAAATTACCTAACTAGGTAGGAAATAAGGAATTACCTATTAGGCAGGAAATTGCCTAACCTGATCTTTTGGGTTTTGAGACTTTTGAGGGAAGTCTCGCACGAAAGCTTCGTTTCCACATCTTCCACTTTCAGATTTTGAAGGAAGTCTCGCACGAAAGCTTCGGTTTCACATCTTCGATCAACTTTCACTTTTTGAGGGATCGAAGTCTCGCACGAAAGCTTCGTTTTCGCATCTTCCACTTTCACTTTTTGAGGGAAAACTCGCACGAAAGCTTCGTTTTCGCATCTTCAGCTTTCTCACTTTTTGAGGGAAGTCTCGCACGAAAGCGTCGTTTTCGCAGCTTCCACTTTCACTCTGTTTGAAAGCAAACTCGCACGAAAGCTTCGTTTTCGCATCTTCAGCTTTCACTTTTTGAGGGAAGTCTCCCCCGAAAGTGTCGTTTTCAGTTCAACGTTTAGATTTTGATGGAATAGTCTCGCACGAAAGCTTCGTTTTCGCATCTTCCACTTTCAGATTTTGAGGGAAAACTCGCACGAAAGCTTCGTTTTCGCATCTTCAGCTTTCTCACTTTTTGAGGGAAGTCTCGCACGAAAGCGTCGTTTTCGCAGCTTCCACTTTCAGATTTTTGAGGGAAGTCTCGCACGAAAGCTTCGCTTCCACATTTTCAACTCTTTTACTTTTTGAGGGAAATCGCACGAAATGCGTTATGGAGAGGTACTGGCTGCACGAAATGCTGTGTTTTGCAGGACAGAACGTGTCCCGGATGGGTGCGGAACACGTTTTCGTTTAGGGGCGGATCATGGTCGGATCGGCCCCGCATTGGAACTGCCAGTTCAGGCGTAATTTTCACAACTTGAACTTTCAAAATTTGAAGGACGTCTCGCATGAAACCTTTGTTTCTACATTTGCCATTCTCAATTTTTGAGGGAAGTCTCGCACGAAAACTTCGGTCTCACATCTTCCACTTTCAGGTTATATGAAGGAAGTCTCGCACGAAACCTTCGTTTTCACATCTTCAACTTTCACTTTTGATACTTTTGGAGGGAAGTCTCGCACGAAAGCTTCGTTTTGATTGACATCTTCACAATTGCCATTTTTTGAAGGAGGTCTTGCACGAAAGCTTCGTTTTCATATCTTCAACTTTCACTTTTTGAGGGAGGTCTCGCACGAAAGCTTCGTTTCCACATCTTCCACTTTCAGATTCTAAGGGAAGTCTTGCACGAAAGCTTCGTTTTGACACCTTCAACTGTCGGAATTTGAGGGAAGTCTCGGATTGTAATAGCTGCGTTGAGGTTGCTTGGCGCTGCGGCTGTGTGCGTAGTACTATATATTAATGTCCTTTGCAGCTTGACATCGTAAATCGTATTGGAATGGCTGCAGCAAGGCTGCGACAGTGATTTGTCAGCAGATTTTCTATGACCCAACAGCCACAAGGTTTTACTTTTACAAACCCAAAAGATCAGGTTAGGCAATTTCCTGCCTAATAGTTAATTCCTTATTTCCTACCTAATTAGGTTATTTTTTTAAGGTAAAAATGTAACCGAATTTTAAGGTATATATAATTCGGCACGTGGGGTTGAAAGTTTGCGTGCAAACTTGCGAGGCGGGGCTGAAAGTTTGCATGCAAACTTGCGAGACGAGGTTGAAAGTTTGGATGCAAACTTGCGAGGGGGGGGTTGAAAGTTTGCGCAGAAACTTGCGTGGTGGGGTTGAAAGTTTGCAAGCAAATTTGCGCCCTTTGACACACACGCAAGCA